TCCCTCTCTCTCTCAAAATAAATAAATAAAATCTTAAAAAAAAAAAAAAAGTATAGAGCATGAAAGCTAACAATTCTGCCCTCTCCCTTGGGTCCCTTTTAGGTAATGTTACCATGTTAACAATCGAGAGTCTATCCCTTCAGGTTTTGGTTTGTTTTGTTTTATATATTGAAAAAAGTGCACATACACAGCTCTCATTATTTTTAAGCTCTGCAGACAAAGTTGCCTCATGATGTATGATCTCGGTGAACAGTTTTTGTCTAATTATTTGAAAGGGTTAATTTCAAAAACATACTGCTTGTATAACTTGTAGTAGGTGATGATAATTAACATTACTTCATTTTCTAATGCAGAGAAAGGTATTCAGATCTTAGAGATAATCTGACAGCATTCCAAAAATACCTGATTGAGAGTAACAAAGAAATGACGCCTTTGAAAGTCTGGGAACTACAAGGTATAGTATTTTGGTCTACTTTAATGTAGCATTTTGGTAACTGATCTCTGTTCTGATAAATAAGCTTTTATATAACACGATATAAATTATTTCATAGATAGGGGCGCCTGGGTGGCTCAGTCGGTTAAGCGGCTGCCTTCGGCTCAGGTCATGATCCCGGGGTCCTGGGATCGAACCCCGTGTCGGGCTCCCTGCTCAGTGGAGAGTCTGCTTCTCCCTCTCCCTCTGCCTGCCTCTCTGCCTACTTGTGCTCTCTCTCTTTCTCTCTGTCAAATGGATAAATAAAATCTTTAAAAAAAAAAAAATTTATTTCCTAGATAATAATTACTGATGTGAATTTTTGTAGAAATTGATATTTAATTAAAAGGTTATCCACCAAGCAAAGCATGTTTTTATGTTTGTAAGAGTTTAAATTATACAGAGTGTAGTTTTTGATATTATCTAATCATTTTTAAAGTATACACTGATTTATCTTGTAGGTTCATCTCAGGTATTAAATCACATTTCAAGGAATCTATAACATTGATTAAAAATCCTGACTAGTCAGGAAGACAGAACTAAATCATACTAGTTTTTTCTGTTTAAAATTTTGAGCTTAATAGACCATTGCATATTTCAATGTTAGCTTAGAACAGCCTTGTGCTGACCTCCTGTAAGCAGATATCTCGTGATCAGAATTTAGTTTGAACTGTAAGTTCTTTTCGATTTTTAATTTTCTTTTTTATTACTTGTAATTTTTAGTCATTCATGGGGACATCATTTTGCTGTGTAATCCATAACTTCTATCACATCTCCCATCAACTTTCTATTAACAGCTTATTGAGATAACTGACATACTCTACAGCTCATCCCTTTAAAATGTACCATCTGATGGGTTTTAGTATATTTTCTGAGTTTTTTTAACTGCCACCACAGTCAATTTTAGAGTATTTTCATCACCCTGAAAGGAAAGTAACATATCCATTAACAGTCACTGCCCCCTGCTCTCCAGTTTCTCCAACTGTTGTAGGCAAACACCATTCTACTTTTTCCTTCAAAATGTTCTCCAAGGAACCCATAATTTAGAAAATATAATTGCAGGTGATAATTGGAGGTGATGGGGTGCTTTTGAAGGCTTATAAACAGGACGTGCTCAGTCAGCTTAGTTTTAATGGATCTGGCTGATGACTATGTAAGATAGATTTGAATGAACCAGAACCAGGAACTCCATTAAGACATCTTTGAAATCCTGTGGTGAGAGATCACGCTGTTACTGGTAGACAACATAGAAAGGAAGGCTGGATTGAGCAAATATTGAGGAGATGAAAGGAGTCAAAGATGGCTTGAAGATTTCCAGCTTTGAGCCTGAATAGGGAGAATATAAAACATGTCAGTATGTTTCGGGATTGAAGATGGAGTTCAAGAATAACGAGACTGGTGTTAAAAGGATTGCTTAAAGTGACTGTGACATATTCAGATGACAGGGTCCAGGCATGGGGTGAACATAAAGTCTGTAAGCTAAAAGGAGAAGATTGAAGGAGCTGAACATCTTAGCACAAAAGCTTACAAAGGATGGGGAGCTAACTGGTGGTGTAGAGTGACCAGTTGGTACACGAGGGCGGGCGCTGTGGTGCTCATCCACATGTGGAAAGTAGAGTCCGTGAAGAAGTGGAGGAGCACATTACAGAAGCTAAACAAAATAGATTTCCAAGACAGAGAATGTAAGCGCTATCTTTTTTCCTTTTTTATTGATTTACCAAATAGTTATTGTATATCTACTACAGGTCAGCCATGTCTGTACATCCATGGTTTCATAATTTTTGGCTGAGAGCTACAGTAGGAAACCTATTTTACCTCAAGACCCATATACAAGTGTATGATGTAAGAATGCATAGATATGCTCAAAACTAAAAAAAATAAAAGTAAAAAAGGCTTCCGCATACAATGTGTGTATGTTTACTACATTTTATTCACTCTGACAAACTTTTTTTCCTACCCTATTTCATTAGAAAAATAACTTCATATTACCTATCCATCTGATTTCACTACTAACTAATGGGTTCCAACTGACATTTTGGAAAACACTGGATTCTGAAGATAAACTGAGCTAAAATAGACCCTGCATATCTTCAAAGGATCTTAGATAAACATAAAAATTTTGAAAACCAGAGGGGCGCCTGGGTGGCTCAGTTGTTAAGCGTCTGCCTTCGGCTCAGGTCATGATCCCAGGCTCCTGGGATCAAGCCCCGCATCGGGCTCTCTGCTCCGCGGGAAGCCTGCTTTTCCCTCTCCCACTACCCCTGCTTGTGTTCCCTCTCTTGCTGTCAAAAAAAATTTTTGAAAACCAGTATAAAAATTATGGTTGTAATTGCTTTACAGCAAAGGTAGATAGGATTAAGAAGGGTATATGCCAGGAAGATCCGAACCGGTGGGCGTGAGGGGCGGGGAGAGAAAGGGAAGTCTTTGCCAAGAAGTGATGACTGAATTGAGATCTGAGGAGGGGTTGGAATAAATTTGGGGGAGGGTTATTTAAAGAGAACACAAAGATCTTTGTGAGAGGTTAGATATGGATACATGAAGGAAAAAGAGATACTAAGAACTTGACTAGATGGTGGTTTGCCCAGCTACATAGACAGTGGTGGTTTCTGAGAAGAGAAGACTAAAGAGGACCAGATTTGGGCAAAGATGGGACAGGAATATCACAAAGTTATTATTAAACATGCTGCTTTGGAAATATCCAAGTGGTAAAACAGTTAAATAGGCAAAGTGTAGGACTTAGTTACTTATGAATCAATAGGTATGGAACAGTTTAGAACAAAGCAAAAAATGTTAATAGAATCTGATAATACTATATTCATTTGGTTATTTATAATCTATCTGATTTCATAAGTGAATTTTCAGGGGGCTTTCAAATAACTTATACACAGAAAATTGGTCATGTAAAGAATTACATTCATGTTATAAAACGTTTTAAAAGACTAGTTGTGTTCTCAAACCTGAGTAAAAGGTAGTTGTCCATGATCATCACAATGGTGATTGACGATAATAAAAAAATTAGCCAGGGCGCCTGGGTGTCGATAAGCATCTGCCTTTGGCTCAGGTCATGATCCCAGGGTCCTGGGATCGAGCCCCGCATTGGGCTCCTTGCTAGGCGGAGAGCCTCCTTCTCCCTCTCCCACTCCCCCTGCTTGTGTTCCCTCTCTCGCTGTCTCTCTCTCTCTCAAATAAATAAAATCTTAAAAAAAAAAAAAAAAAGCCAACACTGTGTCTGGCAAAGTGTTAGGCTATTTATATACATTATCCTAATTACTTTTTAAAAAACTCATATGAGTTATATATTCCACTTTTCCAGATGAGGAAATTAAGAAATGGACACATACAATAATGAGTCTAAGTTCACAAATCTGATAAAGCACAAATCAGGGATACCTAAAATGAGCAGGTCTGTGTCATTATAAAGTCTAAATTCTTTCTTCTGCCTAGCATTGTGCCTTTTTGAGTATAATGTACAGCCAAATACTGTCAGGCAAGATCTTTGATCATACACTTTCCTCTTTTATAAGTTGTTACACCATTCAGTCATGTAAGTAATGACTAAGTTTTCTCACCTAAAAATATGTATATCCCTAAATATACACATCAGTTAAAAATTGTATTGCTTATAAATGCCTTTAATAACAATAGAATGAGAAACCGAACATAAAGGATCTTGTAATTTTACTATTCATTCATTCATCAATAGTGAGCACCTACTTGTGTATCAGGTATTTTTTTTGTGAGAACATTTACTTTCTACTCTCTTAGCAAATTTCAATTATGCAGTACAGTGATACCAACTCTAGTCACCCTGGTGTATGTTAGATTCTCATCCCCTCTTCATCTTATAGCTGAAAATGTATGCCCTTTTCCCAACCTCTCCATCTTTCCTCTATCCAGTCCCTGGCAGCTACTTTTCTACTGTGTTTGTGTGAGTTTGACTTTTTTTTTTTTTTAGATTTACATATAAGTGATGCTGTGCAGTATTTGTCTTTGTCTGTCTGTTCTCACTTAGCATAATGTCCTCCAGGTTCACCATGTTGTTACAAATGGCAAAATTTCCATTCTATTTAATGCTGAATAATATTCCATTGTATGTATATACCACATTTTCTCTAACCGTTCACTCATCCGTGGACATTTAGGTTGTTTCCATCTTGTCTATTGTGAATAATGCTGCAGTGAACATGGGAGTACAGATATCTCTTTGAGATACTGATTTCATTTCCTTTGGATACATACCCAGAAGTGGGATTGCTGGATCACATGGTGGTTTTAGTTTTAATTTCTTGAGGAATCCCCATAATGTTTTCCGTAGTGGCAATACCAGTTTACATGAGTTCCTTGTATATTTTTGTTATTAACCCCTTATCAGATGATTTGCAAATATTTTCTCCCATTCTGTAGCTTGCTTTTTCATTTTGTTGATTTCCTTGCTGTGCAGAAGCTTTGTAGTATGATATAGTCCCACTTGTTCATTTTCACTTTGCTGCCTTTGGTTTTGGTGTCAAATCAAAAAATCATTGCTAAAACTAATGTCAAGGAGCCTTACCCCTATGTTTTCTTTCAGGATCTTATGGATTTAGGTCTTAAATTTAAGTCTAACCCATTTTGAGTTGATTTTTGTGTATTGTGTAAGATAGGGGTCCATTTTCATTCTTTTGCATGTGAATGTCCAGTTTTCACAGCACCACTTATTGAATAGAAAGTCAGTACTTTGCAGGAAGTGATCCTCTTGCAGAAGGATCTTAGTGAGATAAGCATTGAGAAATGGTTGTTGTGTTTGGCAATCAGGAGATAGTACTAAGCACTGACAATTTCACAGCAGTGCTGGAGCTGGAAACTTGCTGAAGCTGGCTGAGGAAATGCTATTTAAAGTTACTCATCTCTGAAACAAATAATGCAATATATGCTAAGAAAAAAAAAGATAGCAGGAGGGGATGAAGGAAGGGAAGGAAATCAGAGGGGGAGACGAACCATGAGAGACGATAGACTCTGAAAAACAAACTGAGGGTTCTAGAGGGGAGGGGAGTGGGAGGATGGGTTAGCCTGGTGATGGGTATTAAAGAGGGCACATTCTTCATGGAGCACTGGGTGTTATGCACAAACAATGAATCATGGAACACTACATCAAAAACTAATGATGTAATGTATGGTGATTAACAACAATAAAAAATTTTTTTTAAAGTTATTCAGCTAGAAAGTGATACAGAGCTGGAATTTGAACCTTGGTTGTTAGGCTCTCCATCCCATGGGAAGCTGTGCTAATAAGAACCTCTCTTCCTGGGCGCCTGGGTGGCTCAGTTGGTTAAGCGACTGCCTTCGGCTCAGGTCATGATCCCAGGGTCCTGGGATCGAGTCCCACATCGGGCTCCCGGCTCGGCGGGAAGCCTGCTTCTCCCTCTCCCACTCCCCCTGCTTGTGTTCCTGCTCTCACTGTCTCTGTCTCTGTCAAATAAATAAATAAATAAATAAAAAAAAAAGAACCTCTCTTCCTAAGCTTTGACTCCAGCCCAATTCACCACCCTGAGAACGTGGAAACAAAACTAACCTTGTTATGCTAAACTGGTTATTTTGCTAGTAATGGTAAGCTAGGTTTCTACCCATGGTGAAATGTTAAAGAGAAACAATATGTTTCACTGTTCTGTAATGAACAGAATTCAGCTTTAAAATCTTTTCTGAATCTTGACAAGGTAAAGGAGACTAAGAAAAATGACTGCTTCTGGCATACTGGAGACTGACCACATAAGCCACGGTTTTCTTTCCGTCGAACTGTAGTATCGAGGAAAATACAAAGTCTAGGATTTTATTTTCATTGTGGTATAAAGTTAAAACATGTTGAAAGAGAAAGTGAATGTTTGATATTTACTGAGTTGGACACATTGGATTTTAAAGTTCTTTCCAGAATTGGCTCCTCGAAGCTCTTTTTTCCTTTTGTTATTCTTACCAAAGCTTTTTGTTTCATGTTTTCTTCAACCTTAGAAAAAATAGTTTTGCCTCAACATTTCTTTCCCTGTATCTTTTTGAAGCTATACTGTAATTTGTGGAAAACAATAGGTATTAAATGATAATTAGTCCTGGGCGCCTGGGTGGCTCAGATGGTTAAGCGTCTGCCTTCGGCTCAGGTCATGATCTCAGGGTCCTGGGATCGAGTGCCGCATCGGGCTTCCTGCTCCTTGGGAGCCTGCTTCTCCTTCTGCCTCTCTCTCCCTCTCTCTCTCTGTCTCTCATGAATAAATAAATAAAATCTTTAAAAAAAAAAAAGGGTAATTAGTCCTTCATGAAAGTGTAAAGCTTACCTTATTTGGACATAAGTGATAGCCTTCCATTTAAAACTTTTGAAGAATGTTAAATATAAGAGTGTTAATATCTATATATACATACATGGCAAGAAGCGTTGACTAAATTATTTAAATTACATGGTGATGTCGATAAAGATCTGATACTATGCTAGATTGCTTAATGATTTTTTTTTCCAGATCTTAGTTTTCAGGCAGCTTCTCAAATAATGTCCACTCCAATTTATGATGCTGTAAAATTAATGAAAGACATTTCACAGAACTTCCCCGTAAAAGCCAGGTATGTTAAAGCTTATTACTTTGATTATAGCCAGAACTTTTTCCATTAAATAAATTTTATGAAAATAGCTGATTTTATTTTAACATGGTGATATCAATTAATTCTAATAGATATAGTGTTAAGGAAATCAGGATATTTCTTCATTATGCATGTTGTTTTTTTATCAGAGGAAAATACTGGCTTGTGTATATGTGTGTGTGTATACTGCAAGATAGAACTCCTGAATTAGAGGCAACTAGAAAGTAAAAATTATTAAAGTTGTTTAAACATAAACAGTGATATGGTAATCCAGATACGGTAAACTTGTTTAAGGAATGAATAATGAGGGAAAATTTTTTCTCTTTTCTAGGTAGGGGATGATGAAAAGTATTACTCTAAATAGATTTATGCCCAGAGTATGGCTAGATCATGTTCTTACCCTTTCAGATTCTAAACAGGTAGTAATGTCTTATTTATGCAATATTTTGTGGAGTGTTTTTTTTCCAGTAGGATACCTAATCGAGCTCCTTCCAGAAATACAGATTTTACATTAAACATATCTGGCAGTTCAGTAGATAATACATTTGCATGTCTAAAAGTAATCAGTACTTTTACAAAATAACAAAACTCTTATGCATTTGTAGTCTGGTTAGGACTGACAGGATCTACAATTATAAGCAACCAGTGAAAATAAGTTAGCTTATCTTGAAGATACAGAGCCCATGACAAGTGCAGCCGTGTTTTTTCTGAAGGGAAGGGGAGAGCATTCCTGCCGTGGCCGCAGCCTTTCTCCACCTGTGGGGGATTGCTGTGCCTCTGTGTGTCTCAGACACTAGGTTGTACATTTGTCCACAGTGCAAATCACTGAATTTACATCTAGATATTCTTTCCTTTGTAAGATAAATAAGTAGTACAGAGTTGGCCACAAGATAACAAGAACCTTTCCAGGGGACCCTGAAGTAGAGGGGTTTGTCACCTTATTTACAGATTAAGAATTAATGTATTTTTGTGACTCTGTGTTCATTTTAGTTTAAACAGTCAAGAATTTGAGAAGTCAGTATTTATATATTAGAACAGAAATATGCATATGTGCATAAATGTTTAGCTCTGCTGCTGTTTCTGAAATTACTAGGTCAAATACAAATTAAGTGAAATAACTCTAGTTTTAAGAAGACTGTTTATTCACTCTGTTGACAGTTGTAATCCGGGGTTGTGTTGCTAAACTCTGCTCTTAGTTTGCGGTTGATCATTAAAAAAAATTGCAAACTATGGTAACACTGCTTAGTGGCTAATTTATAGGCTTGAGCATATCTGTAAAGCCACTCGATAGACAATCAGTAAATGATAAAATATTTGCTAAATGAATGAAAAATTTGTATTATCAAATTATCTATTGTATTTTCTCTCAAATGCTGCCAAATTTTAGGAGATAATGGATACTTAATTGTGGGTTGTTTTAAGATACCCCTTTCTGCTTGTGTTTTACTTTATTTTTTTTTATTTTTTATTTTATTATGTTATGTTAGTCACCATACAGTACATCGTTAGTTTTTGAATCAGTGTTCCATGATTCATTGTTTGCGTATAACACCCAGTGCTCCATTCAGTACATGCCCTCCTTAATACCCATCATTGAGCTAACCCATACCCCCACTCCCCTCCCCTCTAAAACCCTCAGTTTGTTTCCCGGAGTCCATAGTCTCTCATCGTTCGTCTCTCCCTCTGATTCCCCACCTTCATTTTTCCCTTCCTTTAAAGCTGAACTTTACATTATCAGTCTTTTAATTTTTCAGTCATTTTATTTGCATAAAATTGACAAATATGTAACTAATTTTTGTAGGAGTTATCAAGTCAAATAAATGTAGTTAATAGACTTGTTAAAAAAAGCATCTTCTCTGTCTTTACGTTATAGGGGATATTCAAGAGTGAATACATGAAATCAGTTTTATTAGTTGTTTAGAACTTACATGCTCTGGTAGAGGTCCCAGGTTAACCAAGATCTTAATGTCCAAGTATTCTGAAAATTGCCCGTTTGCATTGATACATTTGATGATATTGGTAGTTTCATACAAAATTTCTCTGTATGGGCCAAATAGCACAAAATAGCATTTTCAGTCAAGTATATTTGAAAAATAAGTATCTAGTAGTAAACAAGTTCTGACAGTACTTAATGCATACAATTAGTGCACATGAGCCCTTTTTTAAAATTAAGTTTTTATTTTAATTCCAGTGTAATTAACATATGGTGTTGTATTAGTTTCAGGTGTATAGTACAGTGATTCAGCAATTCCATACATCACCCAGAGTGTACATGAACTCTTGACAGTCTGTAATCCACCTGAATCGAACACCCTTGTCAAATGAAAGCCATTGTACCAGTTGTCAAATAGGCTACATGGAAATGTATACTTTTCGGTTATGAAGCATTTCGAGTTTTTAGGTTCTTATCCAGAGTATTATATTACACTGAATTACAGATTAGTCTTAAACATTTAAGAAAAAATTAATTGTATCACTATTTATTTTCCTAGATCTCTGACCAGAATTGCTGTAAATCAACTTATGAGGGAGGAAATACAGGAAAATCAAAAGGTTTGTTTGAATTTTTTTTTAATTTACTACATGAATATCACTATTTTAGACTTTGGATGTCCAATTTTCATGCAAAAAAGAAAATCATAATTTGTGCTTTTTTGATTGTTAAAACAGTTGAGGTTTTTCCATTTTTAGATTGTCTACTTTATATAGCTTACAGTCTGTGATTCTAGCCAATCTTTCCTGACATATATCTTCTTCATTCACCCTTACTCCAGATCTTCTGCCCATGTAGTATGGTTTTCTTTATAGGATAAAGAATAAAACTATGAGTTAACTATTCTGTTTCTCATAATTGGTTTTGCTTTAAAAGCTTGTGAGGCCTGAGTCAGGTTTGGACCATAGGAACATTATTAGAATTGTATGTCATATAGGGCACAGTTGATCAGTAATTTGATAAGATTCTGCCAAGTGGTCTCTTAAATTACCTTAAGAATCCAAATGACCCTAGCTGTGTTAGTATTTGTGAAGTGCTTAGAACACTGCCCGGCTTAATGACATAGGACTGCCTTGGCTTTAAGAAATAGAACCAGATGCACAGGGCCCTGAACACTAGGAGTTTGTTTTTCTCACATAAAGAAGTCTCAGAGTAGATAGGTACAGACATGATTTTCTCCTTCTGTGGCTGCAGAGTGGCTCCCAGAGCTCTGGGCTTCTTATTTGTATTCAAAGCAGAAAGAGGCAGGAGGATGGTATTAGCCACATGTATCCTCTCTAAAGCCTTCCTGGAACACTTGAGCTGACTACTTCCATCACATTGGCCAGAATTTTGTCATGCGACTATCTCTTGCTGCAAGGGAGGCTAGAAAACTCGTGTTCTTTTCTAGTAATTGAGGCAAGCTGAGGAGAGGTGGGTTAGCTTAGCCAGCCAACAGTGCCTGTCCCATGGAGACAGAGCTCTCAATAGATGTCAGCTCTTCTGATGGCGACCAACAACTCCAACAGTAATAGTGAAGAAGTAGATGCCTAGTCCGTGCCTGGAGGCTGGGTGTCGGGAGCCGTCATACAGCATCCCTGTGTGGGATATTCCTTGCCTCGCTGACCACCTAACAAATTATTGCTTATCCTCCAAAACTAGTTGTAGTATTATCCTTTCTGTAATTTTCCTAATTGCTGTTACCCCTCTTGGAACAGAGTACATTGTTTTCTAATGAAAGTTGCTGTATTTCCAGTGAATTTTGTTTGAATAACGTACCTGCAGTAAGAAAAGAAGAGAGGGCAGCAAGGAAAAGGGAGGAAAAACAAAGGATGCCAGAGTATCAGTGGCTTCATCCAGTATATTTTTGTGCTCATTTAACAGTCCCGAGTGGGTGTTCTGGTCATCCGAGCTTTGCTCCAAGTGGTCACTTAGGGTCAAAAGGCTGGAGGACTTCATGAGGTTAAAGAAGAATATAGTGGGGATGAAAGAGAGGTCATTGGAAGGACTGAAGACCCAGATCACTGCACTGGAAAATTTCACAGGTAGACCAGTGCGATGGCCTAATCATAGGGTGACGGCCAAAGCTGGTTGCTGAAGCAGAGTGGAAGTGGAAGGTGATAGAATTGAGGAAATCAGGAAACTCTGAATCTGGAGGCTTGAATGAGTATGGTGCCTGGTATGGCGCTTTCCCTCAGAAATATTTGTTGAATTGAGAACTGTTGAATGTTTAAATGTTATCTGTAATACAGTCAATGTTTAGCAACAGGTAGTTTTTTAAATATTATGTGTGTATTATAGCAGTTATTAATACCCCAATTTATAAAATGAGATCCAGTGAGTTTTTTTTTTTTAAAGATTTTATTTATTTATTTGACAGAGAGAGACACAGCGAGAGAGGGAACACAAGCTGGGGGAGTGGGAGAGGGAGAAGCAGGCTTCCCGCTGAGCAGGGAGCCCGATGCGGGGCTTGATTCCAGGACCCTGGGATCATGACCTGAGCCGAAGGCAGACGCTTAACCGACTGAGCCACCCAGGCGCCTCGAGATCCAGTGATTTCTGTTGGGTCACAGAGTTGGTAAAAGAACCAGAATTTATGCTCTGATACACAGTTCATTTCAGATCAATTTCATAAGCACTTTGAATTTGTTCAAGGGCCAAACATCTTGCCAGGTGATGAGAAAACAAAGATATTCAGGGAGATTAAGAAATTTGATCTACTTTTGTTTCTTCTCAAAATTCTTGATTGACTCCTATTTCCAGAAGAACAACATACAAAATTTAGAGAAATGCGTTTAATAAAACCAGGTGGGGTAGGAGAAGTCTAATGTAGACTGTCAGCTCCTCTATGAAAACCAACAGGAAACCCTGTTGATAAAGCAAAGCTGAGTTTAATCACTTACTGAAGTAAGGGAGAATAACACCGTGGTACAATCTTACTCTCAAATGAAGGATGTTAAGGTAGATTATTTATAGGTTCTAGAGCTTCTGTTCAAGTGGTTTGATTGGGTCTTTCAAGGTGGAGGGAATTATTTGGGATTGCGTGGAGTTTGTAACACAGTAGTTTAGGATCGGTCAACACAAAAGTGATGGTTTTGATGAGCAAACTTACAAGCAAGCTCTTTGCCCAGATTAGGTAACTGTTCAGATTTGCAAACCAGACTGTTTTGCACATCTATTCCAGATTTGCCTGGAACAATTTGTTTGCAAGAACTTCCTTAAGCAAATGGTTATTTATTCATCTATAACTTTATCTTCCTGGACAAGAATTTCCTGTAATAGTTAAGTGGTATTGGCTCAAGTGATCTCCGTTCTCAGTCCCAGTAGTTGAGCTATAATGACGTAGGTGGTCTCATTGCGCTCTAGGAAGGCAAGAGATGACTCAAGAAGTAGACTCTAGCTAGAAAAGTGGGGAGAGACAGTGTTATTTTCCCTATAGTACTTCATAACCAAAGGTTTGATATTGCTAGTAGATAGTCATAGGGAAGGGCTGTTTAAAAATTTAAGATCATTGGTTGATATTTTGCAGAGGGAAAACATGAAATATTGAGATGGATTATGTTATTGTTCACAGTCACTCTCTTCCCTCTGATGTTGATTGATGCCATGTCACTTTAGCTAATATAAAATGAGCAGATACCCACATCTGTGCAAGCAGATGCTTTTGTGGTTCAGGTGCCTTGTTGCTTCTGCTATCCTGAGGCATGTCCCACATAGAGGCTGCTTGCCTGGTCTGGCGCCTGAAATGAAAAAGGCCCTGGAGTAGAACCGAAGATGACTTGAAGGTGTGAATATATGATATGAGCAAGAAGTAAATGTTTCCTTTAGTAAGCCACTGAGATTTGGGAGTTCTTTATATTAAGAACTTGGTTACAGTAATATCATCAAATATGTTAAATTTCATACATTACTTTTCCATTTGTTAAATTGCATTTTATCTTACGCTCTTGAAACTATAAAACAATGTTTCTGTGTTTGAAAGAAACTCAGAATAATTTCTGTTGCTCTATGAAACCATTATTTTAGGGCTATTAGAAGAACTGAAGGAATAAAATAGCTATGGAAATTAAGAAAGAACAGGCAGAAGTTCTGGGTTTAGTTCCTGGTACTAGCTTTGAGGAAGTCATCTTCTTCAAACCTCTCCTGTAAAATGTAATTATACGGTTCAGATTAGCATCTGTGAGCGTATTTTATAAACATATACAACTGCAAGATGGCAGAAATAATGGAAATGTAGTCAAAGTAACAAGTTTAAGGTTAGAATTATTACAGAAAGAGTTATTCTAATATCACATTTAAAAAGATCTTTCATTTACATTATCTAGGATTAACATTATCTGTCAATCCTAGTATTTGCTGTATCTCCTCATTTTTTAGGAATTATTTGAATCTTTTAAATTGTAGTATCTTTATTATTTGTATAATTCAGCATTTTATTATCAACTTAGGTAGGGAGGCTGGCTTTGGTTAATTTTATTTAGTTATATTTTGAGTTAAAGCTGGCCTAAGCTAACATTTTGTTAAGAATATAGTGATTGTTTCCAATAGGAATATGGCTGCAGCCCAATTCAAAATAGTCCTATTTATTCTCCTAAAAATCATACATAGCAACAAGAAGAATGAAACAACATTTTCAGCAAAACTAGCAGAAGGCAAAAACCTAAAACTCTAAATTTTGTGTATGGGGGGAAATGCCCAACATCAGTGGAACTGAAGTGTAAAGCCACAGTTGCGTGGAGGGAAGAGTGGAACATGGCGGGGGTCCCAGAATGACTGCCCCAGAGAGCATCAAGCACTCACCGTCAGAGGAGAGGGCTCTACTCTGAGTCGGAACACTATGGGCAGGTGGGACTAAAACAAATAGGAGAGGACACGTCTGCTGAGGGAGGTGGAGAGAGGAGTCATGCGAAGTGCACGGAAGTGGCAGACATAAGAAAACCTGGCCAGTTCAAGGGGACAGCTCGTCCAGGAGATAAGGGCTGCATCCTCTGGTGGCAAAGTGAAGAGATCAAGTGCCTGGTGATCAGAGCCTTTGAGCCGGGTTAATGTTGGAGAATCTAAGGAAGACTGTCTACATTGGGTGACCAATGTCACCCAAACTGCTGATCTCTATAAGGAAACTTCAGGCCAGGAAACCTGGAAGGCTAATTTTGCCTCTTTTACTCCAAGAAAATCTAAGTGATTCAGATATTCTTAATCAGAAAGGTAGAACTACTAAATCCATCTAACGATCTCACTGTAAAGGGGGAGAGGAGGAGCAAAACTATACTATAGATGAAGAAACTTCAGTAAGCAGAGAAAGATCGCAACACGACATTCAGACATGTGCTTGAAAAGCTAATGAAACCGAGAAGCAACACAATGCAGAATGACAGTGACTCACAGCAAAGATGGGCTGAGAAGAGGGGGTGATGCTCAGATCACCAGAGAGTGTGAAACCAGAGCTGGAAACACTTTACAAAGATGTTGAAAGTAACCATTTCATAAATGAAAATCAAAATTACAAATGGCACAAGGGAGAACTGACCTTATAAAAAACACAGTAGAAGACATAGTGGATAGAATTAAGAAATGCAAAGAA